GAATACCAACAAAATCACCAAAGTCACACTCCAACCCACCATCCAGGGAGATACTCTTGGGAAAAAAGAATCTGAAACACAAAGCCCACATTAGTTTGGAAATAGTAATAACAAACAGTACACTTTTATTGTAGGAAAATGCATCACATCAGGATTTGTGTGAAATACGTGTGGAAAAATTTCCTCCCTGCAATATAAAAGCTGGCAGAAACCAATTTTAAAAAGCGGTTCTGCTCACACTCTTTTGGTAGTACCAAATGATGTATTAAATACTGTCAAAAGTACTACCACCCTACACCTCATCCCCTCCTCTCTCTCTCTAGGTGGAGCTAGTCACAACACTTGTTATTAAAGTTGCCCGACACGTCCCATTATAGGGCCTTCTTTTCATTTGCTCATTACTTTGCCAAACTTTACCATTTGGGGAGAAAATTCCCATGCTGGGTGTCTGCCTCAGGCTGAATTTTTGTTTGAAAAGTTTCAGCCAAAATGGCTCCATGATTTCTGAGAACGGGGTTAGGGAATAACACATTGTTCTGATATCAGTGTGTGTGCGCACGCGGCTATGTGTGTGAATAATTATATATATAATTAGTAGTGGGTTTGTTTATATTTTAATTCTGCTTCCTTTACACACGTTCTTAATTTTGTTGGCTAACCAGGGCTTCTGACCCCATCACCCAACCCAGGAGGCAATTCAGGGAAAAGTGCTTCCTTCTTTTTATGAAATTAATACTACAGTTAAAACATGTAGGAAGAGAAATTATAGTTAATCATTAAATTTCCCAACAGAAACCTTACACATAAGTAAAATTTAAACTTTTGTTACACCAGGGAATTTCATAGTAAAAGAAAACCTGAGGCTTTAAGAGAGGAAATCAGTAATTAAGGGAGAGCAGATAAATATCCAAATACTCTTCACTTCAGCACAGGAATTCCTGGCATAGGAACTGATCCGCTAAATGGGGGCATAGGAACTTGTCCAAATCCTATTGATGTCTTTAACAGGCTTTGGATTAGGCCCACAGGGTTTTGTTGCTGTGGCAACCCCTTTCCCTGTGAAGTTTGCTAAAGGGTGAGAAATGTGGACCTTTCAGTGAGTGACACTCAAATGACTGTTCCCGGGGCTGCAGATTTTCATGGCCCTGCCTTGCTTCTGACCTGCCATGAGCAGAGATTCAACAAATTTCCTCTGTGTTGAAGAGATCACAGCAGATCACATCTCCCTCTGCATATTCACTGGGGCAAGAAGCCTGGACCTTGATTCACCAGTCTACTAGGCGGCAGAAAGTCCAACCAATCAGTAGGGCCCCCAATATACCTTACCACTGTCCTGTGGTGACTGTATGAGAATGAAAATTGAATGTGACCTTAAATATTCGTTTAATGTAATATGGGACTACAAACACTAACCATCATGTTTGAATCACAATAATATACATATATAGTGTTACTACAGGGCATTTCCATGCATTAACATATTTGGATTTCTTTTCAATTTAACCTTAACCCTGAATCTACTGGGTTTAAAATGCTTGTTTTTGAGATAACAACAATACCCTTGGAATGCATTTTATCCTAAAGTTTGCTCTCAACCTAAACTTTATCTTAATGTAGCTTTTTGTGAGGAAATATTTTAACTTTTGTTATTATTTAACAATCTGATTTCTTCCTCTTGGATAGTACAGTGTGTGGTTTGGGTGGTAACTGACCTGATATATAAAATGTTATTGATTCTTTTTCTTGGTTCAGGTGGGTGTTCCTTATAGCACAGGACAAATTCTTGTTTGAATTTTCTGTTATAATGATAGAATTTTTTATTTCAAAGAGACCATGTTCCTCTTCAGATTTGGTTTTAGTTGACGAAGACAAAGGCTGCTCTTTGAGATTTCTCCACAGCACCTCGGGCTCCGGGTACCATCCGGCCGACTGACACACCACTCGGATCCCTCCATCCTGGTGACCCTCAACAGAGATGTGAGGTGCAGAGCCTGAAGCTAAAATGAATCCATGTTAAATGAGATTAAATATACAGCCCAGCATATAAAAGTTTACATTTTCAATAAAACGATTGAATACACTTTCTTTATGGCTGATATTCATGGAAATGTGTCTTCAATGGGACTTCAGCATTTGTTAAACCTTTGCTTAACTGTGCTGCAGTACTGGGGCCTCAGCAATGGAAGTGGAAGCCTTACAGAATGTTGGAGCGTGTTAGCAGCAGTGTTGTCGGTGATGTGAAGGGGGCAAGGAATGCAAGAGATTTTCCCCTTGATTTCTGATTTTATAATGTTGGAGGCATGTTTGTTATGCTTATTACCTCCGGGTGACCAATGTGAGGTAGCTATTTACTGTGAGAGGCCTTAAGGGTGCTCCAGGGAGTTGTGGGGCATGTGAAGAAGTTTCTCAAGATGGAGGCTCGGTTAGTTGTCACTGTGAACGTGTACCAGAATAAAAGATCCCCTTTTCAGTTCTAATCTCTTTTGGGTCTCCATGTTCACTGAAGGCAGGAGAAGGAGTAATGGGCTTAATCTGCAGCAAGGGAGATTGAGGTTTGATATTAGGAAAAACTTTCTGACTGCAAGGATAGTTAAACTCCGGAACAGGCTTCTAAGATCGATTCTGGAATCTCTGTCAGTGGAGGGTTTTTTAAGACCAGGCTGGACAAACCCCTGTCAGGGACGGTCTAGATTTACTTGGTCCTGTGTCAGCATAAGGGGGCTGGACCTGATGACTTCTCGAGACCCCTTCCAGCCCTACATTTCTATGATTCTGAATCCTACACAGGCAATGAGGATAAAATGAAAACAACAGGCAGCAAGTTCTACACACTGCATGAGTAAGTGAAAACCTTTTTTTTATTGTAAAGAAAAAATGGTTGCACATGGAAAAAATGGAAGAGTATAATGTATACCAGGAGGACTGGATTCAGTACTCAGAGACAGACTCTCTTAGTACTTTATCACAAATGATATAGAGGATGATAAAAAGAAACACGCCATTTTATTGACCATTTGTGGAGCAAAAACCTATAGTTTGGTGGCCCTGGAAAAGCCCAGTGCCAAATCTTTTGATGAGCTGGTTAAAGTTGTCATGTGCTATTATAACCACAGTGGGGTAAGGGAGCCTCATGGGTGCCTGCATGGGAGACATTAATCACCATGAGGGGGTGATTGCTGGGCATGCATGAGTGCCAACAAGTGAAAGAGACTCTGTCTCTCTCGCTTGCTACTGCGGCTTGCCCAGTGCGGAGGGATAAGGCTTTGGGTTGTTAGGCATGAGGCAGGCTCTGTCCCCTGAGGCAGAAATGGAGCAGCCTTCCTGCCTATATTCCTTCATTGCAACAAACCAATCAGCTGTTTTGCCAGGGTTGGAAATGCAATTAGCCAGTGCTATCCCTTCAATTGCCTCAATGCTCATTTTATAGCAGACAACAGGAGTTTGACTGAAACAAAATTCAGTCAGTTTTTGCTTGAGAAGGGATAAGGGATGAAAGAATAGGAGTTTTCTCTGTGCATTCCTGAAAAACTGTTTCAATGCTTGAAATAAAACACTGTTTTTGATGTAAAAAACAAAAACAAAAAAAACCCTCACATTGTTAATGGTGCTATTGATAGTTAATTGATCTCACCCTGAGGCAGAAATTTAGCAGCGTGCCTGCCTAGTAACATTGTTAATGTTCCTACTGTTAGTTAACCATTCCCATTCTCAGTCTATTTCCCCAGGAGCATAAAACCTGTAAAAGTTTTAAGACCTGGAGCACCCACAGAGTCGGCACCTATGGTACTGAGCATGCTCCAGGGACTGGGGTGTGAATAATTTTTTCAAGATGGAGGCTTCTTGGTTGTCTATATGAAGCTGTAGCAGAATAAGAGATCTCCTCTTTCAGTTCTAATCTGGTTTGGGTCTCCATATACTACAGACTTCTACACTTTAAAGCTTTTGCTTTCAGAGAGTCATAGATGTTAAGGCCAGACGGGACCACTGTGATCATCTGGTCTGATGTTCTATCTAACACAGACCATAGGGCTTCCATGAATTAATTCTGTTTGCCAGAAGCTAGGAATGGGCAACAGGGGATAGATCACTTGATGATTACCGGTTCTGTTCATTCCCTCTGGGGCACCTGGCATTGGCCACTGTCGGAAGACAGGATACTGGGCTAGATGGATCATTGGTCTGACCCCATATGGCCATTCTTATGTTCTAATTGTTTTTCAAGTCCATAAGCTGTGATTCAGCTACAGCACTTTTTAGAACCACAGGTATTAGAGCTGGTGCAGTGTGTCTTGATGCAAATGTTAACAGTCACTAAACAAAGATTTTTTTGTTTTTAATGCAATTGAGGTGAGGAAATGTGCTCTTTTCACTACTGTCCCAGCTGAGACTAACTGCAGATCAACTGATACCTGCAGCAAAGAGTGGCATGTTTTGGGAGCAAAATCATCTTTAGGCCTGACAGAAGCCTGCTGTGGATTTTCAGAGTTTGTTCTGATAACGTTTAACAGCATAAGCAGAACTGGGGGGAGGGATTTTATAGCTATTGGCTGGCTGGGTGGCCATAAAAGGGAGCTACCGCCCCCCTCCCCCATTTATCAGACTAATACATGCATATAATATAACAAAAAGTTATAAATAAGCTTGGTTAATAAAGGGAGGTTGAAGCTGTATTGTCCATTGCTGGAGGTGACTCATGAGATCATCCCAACAAGCTTCCCGCCTGTGAATAACTGATCACTACTTGCTGAGTATTTTGCCTTAAAGATTTGTTAGACCCACCAGCTGAGTACCTGAATCTCAATCCAACAACATGAACTGTTTATCTGTTCATACTAAAATATTTTCAATTAAAGGATAATGACCTAGAAAAATCTTGCCTCTCTCTCTCTCTCTCTCTCTGGCCCGATAACTTTTCTACTATTTATAAATATTTAAATAGTCATTGGGCCAGAGAGAGAAATAGACTGTAGTCCAGTGGCTAGGGTACACCCATGGGAGGTGGGAAAACCCCAGTCCAGCCACCCTCCTCCAATGGCTGTTTATTTGTCCAGATTGGATAAATAATCAAAGATTAATTAGCAGGACGACTGGCCGCTGGGTCTCCCACCTACCAGGTGGGTACCTTAACCACTGGACTACAGAGTCTCTCTCTCTCTCTCTGGCCTAATGACTATTTAATTTAATGACTATTTTGAGGATCTCAGGGGCACCTAAATTTTGGACTGAAGTGGGGCGTTTGGTGCCCAAGTGCTTTTTTGGGTCCGGGTCTAAGAGCCATCTAAAAAGAGACAACAGACACATGTTACTGACCTGCCACCTTCAATTCCAATACAGCTTCTTCATGAAAGACACCATCTTGAACAAAACAGCGGTACTGTCCCTCATCAGAAAGTCTGATATTGACAATTCCCAAGGCAACATTCCCATCCATGATGCTGGCTTTCAAAAGCTCTGTCCTTCCATGATATTCTGGCATCTGCTGCCCATACTCATCCTTTCCATGCTGATAGAGGTGCACAAATGAAGTGAACTCAGATCGGAACCATCTCACTTCCATGTTCTCAGCACTTATCTTGGGAGACAGGTGACAGGGTAAAATAATGTCCTCACCCATGATGGCAGTGACAGGGTGATCAGGTCCAATCACTGTGAACCGGGCTGTAAAATGCACCAGGGTACAGAAAAGATAAAATAAATATATTACATTTTCTGTGCATCTATTGCAGTGCTCTGTTATTGATTAGGATCTGTCCTGAATTTATATATGAATTTTACAACAAACAATGCATTTGGATAACCATAACCGACAGATTTAAGGTTGTTTGTGCTGCTCTATTTCTGTCCACTTGTGTGTACGATACAGAGTTCAGTTACGTGATATTACTAGCCTTTCCCCAGGACCCCCACTTCATTCAGAGCCTGTTCAACTGGCATCCATGGAGAGGAAGAGGAGAAGGTTTCCTTTAGCCAACCGCTTGCTTGACTTGCTGCACACAGGCGTACTTTGCACTCGAGTTCTGAGAACTCAGCTGGGGTGTTTGAGCCAAGACTCCCCCCCGCCCCGTTTTTAAATGGGAGATAGGGAGGTGGCAGGAAAACTTCAGTGAAGTCTTCAATACTAGAACTACTTTGCTCCCTGGTTCCTATGGAATCTGGATTTCCAATCCAAGCTGATGAGGTTTTTGAGAAGAAAACTGGCATGTTAAGGAGGACATGCAAGGAGGGCCATATTGAGAACCTGGACGGATGGGATGTGGTGGGTGTGACTCTGGCAGACCAGGTGCCAGCTCTTACCAAGACTGCAGCTATTAGCTAAGAACTGACAAACTCGTAGCTGGTGATGTGACCAGTTCACCTGTACGTTAGTTTTGTGCAAAATAACTAATAGTCTTATTAGAATGTATTTAGTGTTTAGACTCTATGAAATGCTGGTAAGTTGCTGCATTCATTGATCTCACTTGTAATGTCTCTATTCCAGGCTACAAGAAAATACATAAATTTTGCTTTATAACTTTGAGGATGTTTGCTCTGAATTTATAAACCCAGGCACAGGAATAATCTTCCCCCGCCCTCTCCAATCCATCCAGGAGATCAACATTTATATGGGCCATTATAAGACAAAAGTTTTGTTAATTGCCTCATCCACCCATGGAGAAATATGTGCAGGAGGCCTTGTCCCATCGCTTGGAATGCTGGAAGAGGGAAATAATGTAGCTTACACATGAAGATTTTTCATCTCTTTGCTGTTTGAATTCTCACGGGGCTAGAGAAACCAAGCTGAAGCCAGAGATCCCCAGGGGTTCTCCTGGGTCCACCCTGAAAGACACTTTGAATGGGCAGATCTCTACAACTCTGTCACTCTTAGGATTTAGATGGTAACTCATTTGTATATATATTTGCTTGTTTTAACCTGTAAATAGCTCATTTCTTTTTCATAGTCATTAAGCCTTTTGATAATTTATTACAGGATTGGCTTCAGGCATTGTCTTTGGTGTAAGATCTAGGGTACCAATTCATCTGGAGTAAGAGACTGGTCTCTTGGGACTGGAACAGGGCCGGCGCTTCCATTTAGGTGACCTAGGCGGATGCCTAGGGCGCCAGGATTTCGGGGGGCGGCATTTTGCCGCCCTCGGTGGCAATTCGGCGGCGGCAGCGGGGGGTCCTTCCACGCTCCGGTCTTCGGCGGAAATTCTGCGGCGGGTCCTTCATCCACCGCCAAAGTGCCCCAAAGACTGGGAGTGCGGAAGGACCCCCCCGCCGCAGAATTGCTGCCGAGGACCGGGGGTGCGGAAGGACCCCCGCCTAGGACACCAAAAACCCTGGTGCCGCTCCTGGACTGGAAGCAACCAGTGCGTGATTTTTCATGTAAGTGACCATATATCACCAAGTCCAGTTTGTCTGGGTGACAAGATAGGCTGGAGAACCTAAGGGGACTTTCTGTTACTCCATGGTAAGACTGGTATAGTGACCCAGGAGTGCACATTTGTTACTGGCTTGGTGAAATTAATTATAGGCCACACCGCCAGCTTGGGGCATCTGCCTTGTTTGACAGTCTGCCCTGAGGAAGGCATTCATGGCCGTGAGTCACTCCAGACAGTGTGACAGTGGCTGAAGAGTTATTAATCCTGAAATCATGGGGAGACATTTTAATGTTACCACATTTCAACCTCATCAGCTAGTCAAATTTTGGAGCTCCAGGGATGTTCCTGTTGGATGTACGCCAAGTCTACACTACAGAGTTAGGCCAATGCAAGGCAGCTTACGTTAGGCTAACTATGGAAGTGCTACACTTCAATTTTGTGCCTTCTGACATAATAACCCCGCTACACTGACTTAATAACTCCACCTCCACAAGCGGCAGAGAGTCAAGGTTGATGTAGTTGGGTCAGCGCAGTGTCAGTGTAGACACTGCATTGCTTACATTGACTGCTTCCGGCTCTCAGGAGCCTTCTCACAATGCCCCACACTGACAGTACAATCAATACAAGCACTCCTGGTGAGGATGCACACCGCCGATACAAGGAGCAAAGCGTAGACACGCACAAGTATGCCGATGTACGTTAGGTAGACGTAATTTTGTAGTGTAGACATGTCCCAAGAAATTGGCATAGGCTGGTATTCTCTCTGATGCAATCTTGTTTATTGAAAAGGAATGTACCAAGTCCTGCTTTTCCAAATGCAGGACCAACCAAGAACAAAAGGAACAGTTTCATAGCTTACAGTCCCAACCCTCCCTAACCAACAGACCCAGAAGTTCTCTCTAGCTTCTCCCAGGGTCACACTGTGCTCACAGGGTCCTGCTTGGCTTCCCTGCTTGTTTGTCTCCGCCTCTCTCTCTCTTCTTGTCGGTTCTCAGTTGTGTGTGTTCACTTTCTCACACCCCCATCTGGTCACAATACCCAGAGGATTCCTCCCTGCCCATGTCCTTTCACCCCTCACACCAATGGTGCTAGTCCCTGGGCAGACTCGATTAAGCCTTGTTTAGGTGTGGCCCCTTTTACTGCCTCTTACAACTATCTTAAGTGAAAGGACAAGGAGTCTGGTGGCACCTTAAAGACTAACAGATTTATTTGGGC